GGAGGGACATAATAATAATCATTTTCATAAGATTCGAGTAATATTAACAGATTACTTACAATGGTAAAGTTTAGGGAAAAAAACCCAACTTACCTACAAGAGGTATTTCTATGTGGCACACACAGAAGCATATATGATCTCAAATCGGAAATGGAAATCCACGATCCACTACGGTGATAAATGCTGATAAATTAATGCTGCTAAATGCGGTCGAATAAAGATTATTAACAATCCAGAGTGAAATATAACCCTTTCCCCCCACAATTCTTGCATTTAAAGGTGGCACGGACGTGAGACTCTTGAGCTGCAAACGTATATGGGCGGCGGTACTCACTTACCATCAGGTGAGCCATCTGCTCTTGCGTTTGTCCCCATGATATACAAATAATCTAGTAGGTTTTTCTGAACGTTAAGAAATAAACTAAAAACATTAATTAGGATCAAGTTATTGTTTAAAAATGGTGGTGTTTCTAATATTTCTGCATAAAACAGCTACAAAGTTTGGCGCGTATGCTTGTCACATTTAATTTAGTGTTACATTACTGCTGCTTGTTAGTAAACAACATATTCTAATTACTGTATAATGCATCATCTTTGGGAGTACGGTTTATTTTTAGATCACATACTAAAGACAGCTCTGTCGATAACATTGGGCGCCACGATCCTGGGATTCCAAACTACTTGAATGACATCCAGGTGTAGTCAACATGTTCGATGGTTCTATAGTTGTGTTATATATTTATTGCTCGACTATGTTTTTTGGTACTCTATTACCCTATATAATAAAAAAGAAAAATTAAGAATACGAGTAGGTATTATATAATAGCTAATTTGATATTGGTTGTCATTTAGTTATTATTGCGTTTTAAAGATGTCGTGTTATTAGAAATACAAAATGTTTTTGGAACGAATTTCCATATCGCGCGTTACACGCTCTAAGCGAATGGGAACGACACCGAAAAATGTGTAACAAGACTTTTTGCCGGCACTATAGCAAACGTCTACCCAAAAGCGAAAAGAACTTCGATTCAACCGGGGTCCATCCCGCCGTTGTCTTTCTTTCTTTCCATAGAAGACTCAATTTTTTTTCTTTGTAGATTTCCGAGTGTGTGTGTCCAGCCACCTCAGGCCTGCGCTTATGGAGGAAGGTCTCCACCACCTCCCGCGCTTGAGCCTCCTGCGATACCTGATCTGTTTCCGGACCTCGCAGGCCGGGAGAGGGTTATAAGCTGCTCCCGGTCACACTTCGCCCTCTCCTTCGCGAGCATAATTTGCTCACAGAAGGACTTTACAGATCATGCCTCTGCTCCGACGCTTCATGACGGGCATTCTGCCAGCGCATGAAGCGTCGTTTACACGTTATGGCCATCGCAAATGCAGATGTTAGCTGTTTGCGAATCAGCATCCTTTGCGTCAGCAGGTATCAGAGGGCCCAGTGTTTCCTCTCGAGCAAATCCTCCATAACGGATTTTACCGCCGCCATAACGGCGTGCCAGGATTAAGCTGCCTCTTTCGCTTGGATGTTTGGGAATCCCGCACCCGCGTCTTGAGTGATCCAAATTAAACATGCTCGCATAGGTACGTTTAATACAGTAATTCGAAGCTTATAAACGTTTGCATTTATTTCCGTACACCGATCAATAGATGTTATTATAATTCTACATAATAATAATATCTTAGATATGCGAATTATGAGAATGTTTCATTTTCGTTTCGAATGCTGTTTTTACCGCCCCCTAAAAATGCCACCCGTGTACGACGCACTGCACACCCGCATACATCTTAAGTATATTGAAGTTTTTTCTTGGAATCTGTCTGAGAACTTATCTTTTTAATAAAAGTATAGTATATAGCAGTCATAAAAGAAAATAAACTTTAAGAATATAGTAAAATGGTGAAAGATTTTCCAAAGAGAGTGGTTACAGGAATTAAATTTGTAGACACATAACAAAGTTTAAATGTTTTTATAGATTAGATGGTTCCTTTTACCCCACTAGATTATTAGCACCCTCTCTATCTATCTATCTTGAACTCAGTAATCAAATTAATGGTACTCAAATATAAGTTTCTCTACTAACCAGTTAATTTACTTAACAGACTCATTCGCTTACTGATAAAATGTTGTGCAAGCTTTTTTTACGTGATGAAAAGCATCTGTGATTTACTTACAAGCTTAAATTGAGATAAAACTGACTGACAAAATTGTGGATGGACAATTTTGTCACTTGATCATTCTCTAAGAACTTATTCCATATAAAATATCATATTACTCCATATAAACAGCGTTTTACATTGAAAGGTCTTTTTCGAAGTATTGGTAGGAAGAATAATTCATATCATGTTTAACATATTGTACACATGTGCCGTACAATAAACTACATCTAACACGCACTCACTAATCATATGTCATGTCAAACTGTATTCGAGAAAAAAGGCTCTGACGTGCGGATAGACAGACGCAAAATTGGCCTTACAAATATAAAGGTAAGTACTCCATACTTCAAGAAAATACGTAACTATCTCGTTTATATTGAAAGGCCATTATAATACAACTCGATCCTCTTACAACATAATACAAAAATAGTATTTCATGGAAGTTTAAGTAGGTACGTTTATGAATGATCGAATTCAGTCGATATTATCGTCTCCAATGGCGCACAAAAGCGGTGATGGATACATTTATTATATTGCATTAATTATCACGATAATTATTAATAAAATTAGGCTTAGGGAAAAACAAATAATGTCTTTTGATTTCTTATTCAAAATTAACATTTATGATATTTAAAATTATTGTTTTTGAGGTAAACGAAACGACCACTTTTGGTATCCCTGTTGGGCCTCAAGTTTATGAGTTTAACAATTTCTGTTTATATTTTATAAGATTTAATCTGATTATAAAAAATATGTACTTCGAAGAGGAAAGGCAAGAGATTCTAGGGACACGTATATTTTAGAGGTAATTCGGTTGAAATACTTCGATTTCTAAGGAGAGGTTTATATCCAGCAGTGGACTATTAAAGGCTGTTGCTGCATAAGTATCGACATTAATATTTATTTTTTGACGTTCTATGTATTTGTCAGGTCCTGATCAAATCATCATTCACAACAAATGTTTAAATATACTAAACTGATTTTATGAGACAACTATATAATTTGACATTTGACATGACATGGAACCGTTGTTGTTGCCTATTTATATCGTAACCAAGACTGTGTGTGAAATACCTAAATCCATACATATTTTACTTTAATATATTTTTAGTTTTCCTTAATGAATACATTAATGCCATCATATACCAGTGATTTATTCTTGACACAAAGGTTTTTGTGGCGATACTAAGTTCCATAGTTGCTCGAACAATTCCCTTTAATCTGCTGCCGAAATGACAAAAGCAAAGAGCTAAGAATTCTTGAAAACCAGCAGGTACTACAAAGAAACACATTATTACCTACAATTTAAAACATTGTTGTAGTCATCAGGTCCTGTAGAAAGATTGTGTTAGATCAGATTTTAGTCATTTCAAAACATAATTTTCTTTGTTTCATGCTTTATTTAAAAAACATTTCATATTTTCTTTTTAGTGGCTCTTCATGTACTTTGTAGTTTAGATTGTGCACTTCAAATAAAACGTGTAAAATTAAATTCTGTGTTCTGTATTTAGTATTTTAAATATTTGCGATAAAGTCTTATTTAGGATGTACTTTACAGATGAAAAGTTCTAATCTTCTAAAAGAGTTCGTATAATAATTATATGGTAAATATATAGATAACGATTGGTACAGTGTCAAACTATTAGATATAGTTATTAAATTCATTTATTTAACCTGTATTTTAAATAATAAAAGTTTGACAAAACTAAGCTAAACTAAAGTCGCTGTATAGATTTTCAATGTACTTTAGTTGATAGCAATTTGACTGTGTGAAGTGAACTTTCCAAATTATTATGAGAAACAGCAAAATAAACATACATTGTAGAAATCGAATACTTAAACATTATTTTCAACAATATAAGTAATTATAGCCCTATTATGGACATTATACTTAGTGCACAAATTGTGTTCATTTTTAGGACATAAAATTTACATTAAGTATTATTAAAACATACAATTCAAGTCAAATCATACATATAACCCGCCCCGCGTCTCTCCCGGTACAAAGGTGCCCATGATTCTGGCAGCATTGCCTCGCTGAATTGCAACGGACCTCCTTTGCACCAACAACGAGCCGGGGCAGGCGCCACCACCTTTACCTATCCCTAACTCGGTGACACTTTTTCGGCATTTAAACTTTTAGCTTTCGACCCCCAACTGCCCAAAGTCTCCACCGCAATAGGCGCTAAATAATTATGCGTCTCCATTACGGCATATTTTAATCGCTTCCTACAACTACTGTTACTAATTTCTGATCCGTTGGATTAAATTGATTAAGTATGCCTTGGCCTTAAATACGCCACAAACATACACATACACAAACAAAAAAATATAAAAGCTAACCTCACATTTCAAAGACTGATTGTTTTCCTGAACACAGTTACTTAGGTTATTTAATACAGAAGTGTCAAGAAGCGTGTTCAAATTGTCGTTTTAATCCGTGCATTTTTAATAGTAAAATCAAGTGTAAAAGATATATTTTCTATGAGTTTTAAAGTTTTTGGGTTCATTATTCCTGAATCTTGCTATAGGTACTTATTTAGGTTTATCAATATTACTATTGATTTTAAAACATTTGATTTAAAAAAAACTGTTTTTAAAGGTTTGTTGTATTTCAGACTTTAACTTACATGTAATAATCGAAATTGTGTGTCAGGTTTCAACAAACAAACTAACATTCGCATTTATAATATTTATTAGTTAAGATTGGCGATCCCTGAACTATTTCATCCATGCGGAACATAGACGGATCAGAGATGTATAAAACAGACTACGGCCAGAAGTTCTTAATCAATCACTGTATACGTAGCCAAAAGTGATTTTATTGAGATTACAACATAAATAAAATGGTGCGTTATTCGATGTCATGTTAGATTAAAATTATAATTATATTTTGTAGTGTTATGATGTTGTTGATTAATTTATTACTATTTTTGTTTCATTGTATGCGTGGTGATCAGGAGGAACTTGACAAGAGCCAGTTGCAACGTAAGTAAAGTTTTCACTTTTAAATTTAAAACAATGAAAGTGCAGTGTATTAAAAATCCGATTTAAGTCAATTTATTTTAGTTTTGTATATAAAGCTTTTATTAACTACAGTTACTGTAATAAAGTTGCTGTAATGTAATCTAAAAAAAAATATTCAAAATTTCGAGCTGCAAAATTTTTTTTCTCTAATATTTACCTATAAGTACCTAGGTTAGTAGTATATAGGATAGTTCGCAAGAGTTTGTTTCGGATGTTGCTCTAATGTTTGACATAAAGGATAATTATGTTTTCAATGGCTTTTCTAACCGCTGTTCCGTAATTAGGTAATAGAATTACACCTACACTGTGTATTACTGATACACAATGTAGGTGTAATTGTGTAGTTTTCTATTCATTCCTACATAATTGAAATAATGTGAAGGTCGGGCACAAGCACAGGCACAAGAAAGTACCATTACGTAGAAAACTTTCGCTTTTGAATAAAATATTAAATCTCTAATCATATTGATTAGAATCATGCTAGGAACAGACCTACGTAAGGTTACCTGTGAAGATTATAGGCTTAAGATAGTAAACCATTAAAAATATACAAATAAATTGATAATAGATCAAATAAATTGACTACACGTAGTGGTTAAGGCGGTCGGTACGCTGTGGGTTGGAGGTTCGATCCCCACATGGGACGACAATTTTTGTTCTGAGTCTGGGTGTTCTTTGTGACCGTTGTTTGTATGTTTGTAAAGTCCAACGCGACACAGAATATCTGCCTTTTTTTTTTCTTTTTTTTTTGACTGGGTGGAAAATCCCTTCGGATCTCCTGCTCCTCGGGGACTCAGGAGCCAGGAGTATGTGGTGATTCCACTAAAAACCACCCCGACGGCCGGCCTTAGGTGTCCTACTCTGGGGAGGACCCGGACCTTGTTACTTCAGGTTCTCCCCGAATTGACACCATGCCTAATCAGGCCCTATCCCAGGGGAGAACAGGATATATTCCTAATGCGGGCGTTGTATTTTTAAATATTTATAAATATATAATATATTATAATATATAGTTACAGTTAACAACTTATTATGAGATAGATTTTTAAAGATCAGTCACGTCCGAAGTTGTATTGCAGTTAGGTAAAGAGTAGCAGTTAATAAGAGATTTGCGGTAATCCTAGATACATTATCCATTCCGTGGTAGTTATTTATTAAAATATTTTGTTGTATTAGTTTTTACATAGATCATTCTTTAATTATATTTTTGTCCACAGTTTTGAAAAATGCTTTTGACGCGTTCGACCACGAGAAAAAGGGTGTTATCAGCACAGACATGATAGGCACCATCTTGGAAATGTTGGGCCATGAACTGGATGAGGACACCCTAAACGAAATTATTACTGAAGTCGATGTTAACGGTATTTCCTAATATTAGTTACTCAGATGAATTAGTATATTGTGTACTGATAGCTATTAGCGCCATCTAGTGATAGCGCTAATAGCTATCAGGACATGAGATAGCTAACAACTTAAAAATTCTTAACAGTAGTTCCACAGACACGACGTAGATGGCAGTGTATTAAACTAAAATCTAAGTCACTAAAAAATGCTATTTTATATTTCTTGTGCACAATAAAATAAAAAATATATTTACGATGTAATAAAAAAAATTATATATAGTTAGTACGTACAGTTAATAAAACAAAAAATTCCGTCTCACCGTGACAATGTTTGCACATTGCCGTGACCAGGATTCGAACCTGGGTTACTACGGCCACAACGTAGGGTCCTAACCACTAGACGATCACGGCTGTTGAGACACACGAATTACTGTCAAATTAGATGTTTACTTGTGACTTTGTGTTTATTTCAACATTAAGTATGTCGTGATTTACAGCAACTGGCGAATTACAATTCTCAGACTTTTGTACACTAGCTGCTAAGTTCTTAACAGAGGAGGAAGAAGATGATGAAGCTATCATTAAAGAACTTAGGGAAGCGTTCCGGTTATACGATAGGGAAGGTAAGAAATATGGATAATACTATAACAATTTTACGAAAAACTTTCGCATTTTTTTATATACAGTCAAACCTGGATAAGTGAGAACTGGATAAGTGAGAAAACTCTATAAGTGAGAGTAATAGCCAGGACCCATCATTTTAAGCTCCCAAAACCTCTATTAGCGAGAAACAGAAACCTCTGTAAGAGAGAGTCGTTTTTCCCTCATAGACCTCCGTAAGTGAGACTACTACTTATCTATACCTCTATAAGCGACAGTCGAGCTTTATTTACAAATTTATCATGTGCTATTTTATGACTCATTCTTAACTTTCGTGGAACTTCCTACCATTGTTTTTGTGTTCTCGTCAATATATTTACTACATTCGTACTTGCTGTGACTTGTTATTGCTGCGTACCTCTATAAGAGAGAAACGCTACCCATGTACCTGCATTAGCGAGAAACTCGGGTTAGTGAGAAACCTCTATAAGCGAGAATGAGATTGTGCTCCCTTGAACTCTCGCTTATCCAGGTTTGACTGTATATACTATAGACAATAATTTTATTATTACTTACATAACTAATAATTTACTTTACATAAAATATGTATACGATTATAATTAAATTAAGATTTATAATCATTTTAACTGCTCCGTTAGCTTCGAACGTACCTAATTACCTATTACTTTCCTGGGTCAATATTGTCGATTATGGCTGAGTCACAACATTACAAATGTTAACAAAACAAACATATTCAAATGATTGGACCTACAATGATTTTTATTAACGACATTTATTGCGTAGTTGGTGAATTGCTTGTTGCACTAAATGTTCATATTATTTGCTTCTAGGAAACGGATACATCACCACAGATGTATTAAAGGAGATCTTTAAAGAATTAGATAATAGTATCACACCTGAAGACTTGGATACAATGATTGAGGAAATTGACTCTGACGGCTCCGGAACTGTAGATTGGGATGGTAAGAATAACTAGAAATTGGATACTTAACTCTTATTAAAATCGTAATTAGAAAATAATTATAAATTTTAATGTAAATTATTACAATCTGTGGAACGGGCTATCGGCTGCGGTATTTCCGGACCGATACGATCTTCAAACCTTCAAGAAAAGCGTACTCCTTCCTAAAGGGCCGGCAACGCGTTTGTGACTCCTGAGTTGCAGACGTTCATGTCACATTCCATCAGGTGACCCGTCTGCACCCTCTATTATAAAAAAATAAGCACAAACCTACCTATTTATATGTTTTGGTTTACCTCATCATATAATTTTGAATTGTCATTGAAGAGGTAACTTGAAATACATTATTCAGAATAGTTAGACATGTGTAGCCGTTTCCACGTATTTTCCACATTCTAAGCAAATATTCTTTAAAAATCTTGGGTTCTACACGTCTTCTGTATTTTCGGTATTCTAAATATTAAGATTCTCCGTTAACAATATTTTCTTAAAAATGCACACAAAGAATTCTCTTCACGTAGGTATTAAATATAGAATAATGTTATTGTAGGTACCTACCTCGAGATAATGATGATACAGATATAGGATCCCACGGTGATCTTGTTCTCATTCTCCTACTTTATACATAAACAAGTTAACAATTGAAGATACTTTTTAAAACACAAAGACATAAAAAGCGCTGTCAAAAACCCGATAAATTACGCGCCAAAAAGCCGCCATATTGTTTTTTTTTTAATAAGGCAGGGTTGAGTCGATATAAAAATTCAGATCACTACTAACCAGTAACCACTATTCATTTATCCAAGTAGGTGTTTTGAAGCAGTTAGACGCTTTGGTGAGAAAAACTACCTAACCTACTTATGTTACAATAGGGACGTTTTTCTCATCGATTTTTTGTCATTTTGGAATTGTCCATCTACGCCCACACTATCATTGGTGCATTATATTTACAAAATAATATGACTTTTAAGAAAAAATATTCTGATATTAATCCTAGGTGTAATGTTGGCAATCTTTCAAATAATTCTTTAGAACGCCTATAATTAAACATGTATATAACGTAATATTCATACAATGGGATTTAATAATACTTTTCTAGAGGTTCTCAACACACTATCGCTGAAAGAAGATCAACTAGGTATATTAAAGTAAAGTAGGTAGGTAGGTAGCTACTGCTGATATAGGTAACTTAAATGTAATGACATGTTTTCAAAGGGTCTACTGAGTATTTAGTTATGACGCCTACTTGTAGTAGTAGTAACTAGTAACACCAAACAATTAGCAAAAATCGTGATATCTCTTTTGAATGTTAATACCTACCTACCTAATGTAAAAGTATTTTTTTGTCTCGTTTGACATCTCTTACGACCTAATCTAATAATTTGATTTATTTTTTTATGAGTTATTAAATTAGTATTTAAGATTTAAATCGAAAATAAGTAGCTTGATATCATTCTAGTCCATAACTTTGTATTTTTCTTTCTTTTCTATGTAATTTTCTTTTTTTTTCAGAATTTCTTGAAGTTATGACAGGAGAATAAACGTAGTCAATTTAGAATACTAAAAAAAATTAAACTAAGGACTAGATTAAGGCCAATGAACATCTATGGAGAAGTAAAATACCTACCTAACAATTTTATTAATTGATAACAACATGCAATGGAAACAAAAAAAAAAACGTTTAATTTCATTTTTTAAATTACAATGTGATTTTTAGTGTGATAATTATTTATATGACCAGTTTTTGTATAAGTACAAATATATTTTTTTAATAAAATAAACAAAAGTCTCTTGTATTTTCTTTTCCGCTGAGTCACGACATCTGTTACAGTATATTTAAACTATTAACAAATCACAATGACTTGTTATTGTAGCTTATAAACTCTAGATGGCGTTAGTAGTAATAACTAGTGGCGCTGTCTAAATTTAATAATTTAGAGCTAAGCAGTAAGCACCTATTTGTCTATATGTAAACTATAAATATCCCAGAATTTCTCCTAATTATGTTAGTGTCTTACTCTAGTTTTCGGTTAATAAGTACAATGTTAATTTTTATTTTTTTTTATTTCCACCTGTAAAATTTCAAATATATAAGGTATATAAGGCGGCCTTATTGCTTTATGCAATTTCTTCCAGGCATCCTGGTGCAATATTATCTGTAACTGGCGAGACTGGAGAATACTTAGATGATCAAAGACATGTGTGGCATGTGAAGGAACTTGAAGATCTTTAAGATAAACAATATACGAGAATTATATATTTTTAATCGTTTTATGTATTCACGTAGGTAGCTAAATGTAATGACACCGGATAATTACCATATATAAATATTTCTTAAGCTGCATTAGGTCAAATGCAGCTTTAGAAATATTTATAAATGTTAATCGAAAGGCAGATAAGCGCTTAATCGACAACATAGTGCGAACTGAACGGAATTCATTATTTTTTGAAGAAATGATTAGAAGTCACTGTATTGTATCTTTATCGCGCTGTCAATAAATAGTTTGAAGCCATCATTTATAACCACGTTTAGTACCCAAACTTCAAATATTTTCGTAGTTATTTGTTACGGACATAACATGAAATCATCATAATATGGTGTAAGTGAAAGGTGTCAAAATTCTTGCTCCTTCAAGATGTCAAAACTCAATTGGCTTTTGTAAGTTTTTGCAAGAATTCGTGTAAGCTATACCTAAGACGATCGTAGCTAGACTTATAAAATCTATTCACTAATAGAAAAAAAACAGCAATTTTTTTGCTAACAAAATAGATAATAATAAAATCCAACATCAACGTAACTTGCTGAATTACTTCACTAATTGTATAACATTTCCGTTTCATTACTTCTACTTTTATTGTTTACTTTTACTAACGGTCGCAATAGTCTCCATTCTATTGAGCAGCTTACTAAACCTATTTTAGTCTCGTTGCATTTACTGTTACACTTAGAAACATATATTTTGGAACGAAGTTCCTTGTCGCGCGTTACACGCTCTGAGCCGACGGGAGCGAGACCGAAAAATGTGTAACAAGACTTTTGAGCTTCCGGACCGACCACCCGAGTTGTCGAACTGATTGATAAAAAGCGAAAGGAACTTCTTTCCGACTAGGGGTCTATAGACTATAGGTCTATAGGACTAGAGGTCTATAGAAATAATCTTTTAATCTTATCTCTACAGGCGGGACGCCTGTACAGATTAGATTAAAAGTGAGGTTAGTTTACTGAAGCCCAAAACTCCTCCTGTCCCTAATTCTGGGGAAGAGGAAAGGACTCAAAGGCCGAGTACGCATAAAAGTTGTGGCTTCCACCACCACATGGGTTGTTCTGTGTCTGTGCGTTTTGTTGTGTCCATTTCATGAATGTTTGTAAAGTTCCCGGCGTCACAAGATATATTCTAAGTATCTTTAAAAAATAAATACCACGTATGGTAAGACAACGAAGGTTCTTTGTTCTGTGTATGTATTCAAGTATTAATGAAACCTGTGTAACTAATAGTAACTGTTGGATAGCCACATTTTTTGGTTCCAAATATTAAGTAAGTCTTCATTAATCCAAAGCTAATGACTAAATGTCGATGGACACTATAGACGCAAATATCGATTTTCCAAGTGGATGGCGTCACAACGTGCAATTTTATGGGACACTGTATGGAGCGACAAAGTTTTAGGACAAATATCGACTAGTGAATACGAGACTTAAGCCCTTGAGCGACACCTTAATTACAACTTAATAATGTGGACTGATGAAATACATGTCATTTTTTTCTATTTAAACAAATTAAACGAAATGATGCAATTAAACGAAAAGTTGTTATGCGATTTTCGACTTCACTAAAATATCTTTTTTTTTTTAAACGGTTAAATTTGTCGTATAAGAAGTTATTTATGCTGCCTTTTTTATAAAGATACCTTTTTCAGCAAATGCACGTTATATTTTTTTAAGTATATAGGTACCTAAGTATTTAGGTTCCACGTCACGTGAATTGGTGTCAAAGAAAGTGTTTACTGATAACTGAGCGGACTTCTGATATTTAGACACCTTTTTTGAAACTAACTCACTGTCTGGTCCACGGTTTTTTATTGCCAAAAGTTTAAGCCTACGTCTTTGGACGCGAGCGGTTCAGTATGATTGTGGAATACTCTAAAAATAAATACATAATCTATAGTAGTCTTAGGCAATGAATATATAAAAACGTACATTTTCATTCTTTTGATCAATGTGACTCTCAGTACTAACAATGTTTAGTAATTAAACTATTGCTAAAGTTATCCGAATATAGAACTAGCTTGTCACCGCAAAAATTACACAAAAAAAACCATTGATTATTATTTTTGCGTAATCTTTGCAAACTATAGATTGCAGTGAATTGCTACGGACGTGACTTAGGTTAGGTTCTACATTAACATTTTAAGTGCTATGTAAAAAATGAAACTTAGAAAACGAGCAATTTGTGTCCTATTATGGAAAGCTGGTGTACATGAATTTATTTTTATTGCTTGTATATTGAAGCATTTAGAGCACAAATTTTAATGACACTGCTTCGTTTAAATTGATTAACCAATAAACGATTAAAAGAAGTAAGTAAAAAACCTGTCACTATTTATACACGCTAAATGCAATCACCTTTTTTAAGTGGCATATTATAACAACACGTACGTGTAACTTTATTTATTATCTAAAGTACTAGTGATGCGATTGGAGCTGTTGTATGAGTACTAGGTTTTAAGTAATAAAAATATCGACTTATCATAACTTTATAAAATATATTTTTTCTTCGAATAACATCAAACTGCTAACGATATGTGTTTAAATTCTTGAAATATATTACAGATTCGGGTAAGCTGTCTACGTACTTACTTTAGCTTGATACAATGACAATAAATGGATTGTTTGCGTGACATAATTGTAAAAGCTAGTAGTAAATAAATCTATTATGTAATATTAATACCTTAAACATTCTTTAGACACTTTCAGCCCAGACTGTTATTTACTAAAGTTAATTAGAATAATAATCCAGATATGTAGATGACTGGACTAGGTGTAGATTACAACACGTCGCGTCGTAGGAATTGAAGCCTACTAGATTAATGGTTCGTTAACTTTAACAAGTTGTACCTATGTATTAATGCTTGTTTGTGGTCTGGCACTATTTCAATTTGATTTCTTCCTACTGACTTTGCGTGATTGATATTGGAACCAGGAAATTGCATGGACACGAAATTGTTCGTGTAATTGCATGTGTTAGGAGTGATAATCAAATTGTGATAATGACTAGGTGTGTTTTGGAAGGCTGTGGTGCAAAGTTATTTGGTTTAGTTATTTTTATTTATAGTCCAATGAAAGTTTTACCTTATATTACTAACCTTACAAGACCTTTATATTCTAGTTATTAATGAAAGTTGAAATTTGAAGAGGAACATGCAAAAGACTTCATAATTTTTTAAAAATTAAATATTATAGATCTTTTCTTTGCATAACTTTTAACCGACTTCAAAAAAACAATCAAATAAGTTTAAAAAACATTGACTTTATTACGCCTACATCATAATGAATCGTTATAAACTGTTTCTGTTTACGGTTTTGTTAAAATACCACGTCTAAGGGTAGTAAATTCGTTAATTTTACACCCTTAGGAAAGTTTCATTTTTAATTTCCATTAAACTATTTGGGAAATGTAAATATACACTCCTTAATAAAAATGTTTTTTCAAATTGGTTCACCAATCACGGAGTACAGAGGAATAAACATGTGAAAAAAATACAACCGCTTTTATTTGAAATCGGTAAAAAACTATTTACTATTTAAATAATTTAATGCTAACAGTATATAATGTATTTATTTACAATAAATATATGGTTATTGTTTTCAACAAATATTGTTTTAACTATTTGTAACATAACATTCAAGGTAAGTTCCACTTTAAGTTATAAAACTGTCGTAAAGTCGTGTCAAATAAAAGGCACTGTTATTAATAGATTTACATTATTGCCTTGAAGTTATTTAGATACATATCTAAATAATAAAATGTTTACGTTTGAATGAATAATTGTTGTTATATAAACGTTGAAACGTATATTGTGAGAAACGAATTTTAGTATTAACTCCACACGTCTCACACACGGCAGTCTGATCCCAAACTAGACAGAGCCTGTTTTATAGTAACTAGACTGCTGATAAACACACTTTAATATTTACAGAAACATACATATCATAGATAAATTACACCCAGACACTGAACAAATGATCGTGCTCATCATACAATAATTTGTCCTGGGTGGGAAACCTGTTTTATCCCATCTCTAGTGTCATCCAAGCACTATTGTGTGCGCAAGCGCTACTAGAGTTGATATCACACAGTAGGTAAGATGTCAAATGTTATCATATGTGACTGCTTACTCGTTTTTTTTTTACGCAGAGTACTAAGTTACTGATTGAAAGAGAATAATAGAGACCCATTTTTTAGCGTTTCATGGATTCACCATGCGGGTGCCGGGTCCATCGCGTGATAGATGCGACTTCGACAGCACCTGGGAATTGCGA